GGCAAATCTCTTCATCCCATCAACTGCTGGGGAGGGGGTAACAATACAGGTGTGGGAAGTGGCAGCTGAGGGCTGGGGGTCCATGGTTTTTTTTTTTTTACTGGCTTCGCTTACCTGTGGTGCTGCTGTAACAGACTTCCTACCCATTCACCTGCTCCATGTCCTTGCAGCAGCACCATGTTGTGAGTGCTTTCCTCTACAAGAGACACGATTTTTTTGTTGTTGGTGGTAACAGTGGTGGTAGCTCCTCTGAGCCCTAGGTAGGACATGAGCTCCATTTGCTGGCTGCTGTACAAACACATGGGCAGACATGGACCCCCACCCTGAAGAGCGTAATATTTAAATAAACAAGACATACCGGGTTTGGGAGGAAGGATTATGACACACATGCAAAGGCCCAGGCTGGCAAATGTCAGGTTACTGGTAGGATCTTTGTTTTGTGTTTCTATTTGTGTTTATTGTGGGAGCCAGGATGGGATTAGGGAAGAGAGGAGAGGATGTGTTAATAGGAGCAAGTGGGTAAGGAAAGGCTGGACAGGGGAAGGTCTGCTGGTAGCAGGAGGACTGTGAGGGAGAGGGGCTGGGAGAGGTCAACGTAATCAGCCCATCTGTAGAGGAAAGAAAGTCCAGGAAGCTGAATGTCTATGATGTTACTTGTGTGTAGAGGTTGTGAAGGGGTGTGTGTGTGCGTACACCAGAAGGAGAGTCCTCTACTCACTTCTGAGTTTGGAGGCCTACTTGGCCCCCTCAATTGCTGTCAATTCCAGCTCCTGTGCAGCACGAGTCTGTTCTTGTGGGTTGAGTCCACCCCATGGCATCATGCTCTTACTCTTTCAGTTCATGTGCAGGAACTTCTAGCTCAGGATCTGCTGGGTCTTCTTCCTGCCCTGCCAGTATTTTACTGCCCCTAGATCCTGCTGTGGATGAATCTCTTGGCTGCCAGGTAGGAGAGGATTTCTACGGTGCCACTGCCCTGAGAATGAGCAGCTGAGCAGTGTCACTCAATCCGCCACAGCAGAAATACCTCTCCTTGCTCCCCTAAAGCAGTTTTTCTGAGGACACTGCAAATCTGCCAGCTGCCCTGGACCCCACTCACTGGCTGCCTCTATTCAATCCCATTCCAGCCCTTCCAGCATCTGGTAGAGTGACAGAACTGTGGACCCTAATTGTTGTGTCCATTACACCCATTCCCAGCACTGAACATCTGCCTTGCCTCCTTTGTGGGGGAGGGTCAAAGTCAATTTCTGCCTCTGTGCCCTTGATACTGCTATGAGAGTGCCTGCTTGTGATGCAGTCAGAATAGGCTTTGAAATAGAGCTGGTTGGAAGGTTTTCAACCAAACATTTTTCCACCGGAAAACACTGATCCGTCACAAGTGAAAAATTTCACAGAAATTTGTTGATTTTGATTAATCTAATATAACACAGGCAGGTTTCAAAATTTGCCTGTCAGGCAGGTTTCGCAAGGAAACCTGGCTAATTTCCTGCCATCTCACCTGCCTGACTCTTTGGCAGCCCTCCTGAATGATTGCCTCGGAGTTGGGACCCCCAGGGCTTCCAGGGTCCCAGCTCTTTGGCAGCCCCACCATGTGGAGTGCTTCAGAGCTGGGTGCTCCAGGGCTTCCAGACTGCTAGGCCAGCTGGCTTCGCACAGCTTGGAGAGCCTTCTGGCACAGGAGTGTGGAAGCCCTGGGGTCTCCGACTCTGAGGCCGTCAGCATAAAAAAGTTGCTATGGGTACTGGAAGCTGCTGACTGAATTAACATGATTCTTGTCAGTTTCACTGCTGCCCACTATTGAATTGCAGTGGTGAAAGTGACCAGTCTGGTCAGCCCAAATATGATTCTTTTTTGTGGGAGGAAGGGTCAGGGTGAGGGAAGATGTCTCTGAAAGAATTTAAGGTTTTACATCCCAGTAAACCTACTTAACCAAACTTAATTCAGCTGAGATCTAGCCAGAAATATGGGAATTTCAGATCACAACTCCACAGGATTCAACCCAAAAGAGAGCCTGTATTGGACACTCCTGTTCCATGTGGGGCCTGATGCTGCTGCTGCTCATGCAAAATTCCTGCAAAAGTTGATTGGGAGTGTTTCCTAAGTAAGGGCTACAGAGTTAGGCCATTAGTCTTCCATTTTCCAATCAGCTGTCCATGGTCACAACAATCTAATGTTTTGAATAATCTCTGGAGTAATCATGATTTTACCCCAGTCCTCTTTATTGTGGTGCTGAATGCCAAATTTAAATCTTGTACCTTAAATGACAGTAATCTGGTACAGAAACACAGGAACAAACAGATTTACAGTGTAGGATTTCACTATTACAAGTTTGAGAGTAAGACCCTCCTAAATGAGGTAAAACTCATGTAGAACTATCTTCCTCAAGGTAAAAATTCCTCAAGGGGAACAGACACCTCTGCAGCAAAGAGTTATATAATTTGAACTTTATGAGTTTAGAGCAGACCCACCCCACTGTGAGCTAGAAATTCTTTGAGGCCCTCTGAGAGGCAAGTTACATTCTTTGAGGGAGGGATCTTTTTAATCTCATGCTACTTATTCCTTAAATGTGGATCATTATCTTAATGCTTCAACACTGAAGACCATGTTTAATAAACAAAATCAAACAAACTAAACCTTTTCTAACATGTGATATGGGACTGGTTAAGAAAAGCCTGCCACTTACCTGTCTGTAGTCTTCAGATACTAAAATAAATCCATTGTTATCTATGAGGTAGCAGTTAATTGCCTACAAAATAATAAAGCCACAATTTCAAGTCTTGTTTTTAAAGCATTTCACTGATTTCATTAAGTAATGTATTTCAATCCCACATGTCCTCTAAACGGATAAACATTTGGCCGTTATGTAATTGTAAATGCTCAAATAAATTATAAGTGAACCAACTTTGCAGTTGAGAGCAATGATTAAGGTATCTTAAGTGATTACTTAATGCATAAATGCCCAAAACCAAGAGCTTATCGAACAGAACTGAACATATTTAAAAAAAAAATCAACATTTTAATAATGCATTTTTAAAAATATTTCCCTGTAACAAAGAATGCAAAGGCATACAGCCCCGGTGCTCCTCATGGCTTATGCTCTATTTAGAGAACAACATCAGCACAATGTCATTACCCTAATGATGTATTAATGAAAACATAGTGTCAGCTTGGAGGACCAACAGGGGACCAGGTAATATTTTTTAATTTGTTCATAGAATGAGAAGGGGTAAAGGCTTCTGTAAAAGAGGCCCCATAGGTCTCCTAAAGGTTTTCAAACTGTGTTTTTAATTGGGACCTGGAATCGGGGGTAGGAATGTTAGCTTTAGGTAGGTCATACTTATAAATTGCATAAAGCAAGGTAAACTCAAATCAGTGCTTCCCCCATACTATTTTAACCTCAAGAGAATGATCTGCTACAGGCTAAATTTTAATTACTGCTCTGCAGAATTTAAATTCAAGGTTTAGTTCAAACCTTGGTATAACTCAGTTTCTCTTTATTATTACTTCAGATACCTTCCTCAACACTATATTTGTAACATATCTTTACTCTAGGCCTAACTCAGCAAAATATTATTGTTCCTTACACTTTGTGAAATTTACATTAAAAAGTTCACGATTGCTCCCAACATAGTAAATTTCATGGATTAGCTCTGAATCCAAGATCTTCTTTTCTTACCACAAAGGCCAAATGCAGCCAGGAACAAAAGGTATCCTGTGCTGCACAACAGCAACCCAAGAAAATGGTCCTACAATTTGGTAATTGAAAGCAGCTAAATACAGAGCCTGATCCTGCAGTCCTATCTTCAGTAGGAGTTTTGCCTGGGTAAGAACTACAGGATCAGGCCCACAGCCTTCTTCACAACATGTATGCTGTGACCATTGATTCATATCTTGGCTCTTGGTTGAGAGTTGTTAAATTACTACAGAAGAAGCAGCCCTTGCCCTTGACAACTAGGAAGATAAAGTTCGCTGAGTAATAATAAATGCTCACTCACTACGTTTGGAGGTCCAGTTCAGATAAGCAAATGCTTAGACACATATTTAAAGGTTATCTAAATCCCTTTGGTCTTCTGGATTGGACTAGGAATATGAAAAGATTTTTAGTATTTACTCTTCTGGTCCAGGCTGGAAATATTGTGACAATATTATGCAGACTTTCAGGTTAAATGTTGATACTTCGGACTCTGGTCAAATACTGGCAGTGAACCCCTATCCCCAAAACTCAACTTTGCAGAAATGTCTGTTTCCAGTTTGTTTCTAACAAATGGGCAAAAGTTTGGTGAGCTTTTTACTCTAACCAGTTTTGCTCATCCACAACACAGATACAGGGTGTTTGCTTTGATGCTGGAACTGGAGGTCATGTGGAGCCTTTTGCAGCTCTGTTTCAGAAGCCCCACCCTACTCACCCACAACTAAGATGGGAATCCAGCCTGGCAGATGCTGCGGGTCTAGCTGATGGCCTGTTTGGGAGGTCGGGAGTTGTTAAATTGCTGCAACTCGTGGATGGTTGCAAGTGCGAGTAAAAGGATGAGACTCCTATTAGCTTTACTGGAAGCTAAGTTAGGCCAACATGGAACACTTTCAAAAATTCCACCCTATAGCTACTCTCTGCTAGTGCAACCATCAAGGGAGGGTAGCAGCACAGAGAATGCACATTCAGCCCTAATGCATACAATCAACATGCCACCCACACACCTCAAGGGGTGGGGGAAGTTGATTAGGCTGGTGGTAAAAAGGGACAGCTCCAACAGCAAGAGAAGGAGACACTTGATAAAGGACATTGGGTAGCTCCTCCCCTGCTTAAAATCTTTGCCATCCATTGGCCAGTTAGGATGCCGATCTGCTGATTGGCCTACATCTCCCAGCTCCAGGGATTTAACCTGGAACACAAGCCATGTTGAGTCTCTTGTGGCTCCATTGCAGCAGCATTACTCACTGATGCAGCAGTAGAAGCAGTCAGAATACAGAGGAAGATAGTGGGTATCCAAAACATACCCAATATTTGAACTAGCAGACAATCTACACAAGCAGCCAGGACAGCAGATAGATCCCAGCTGGGTTTCAGGGCTGACATTTGCATCCAGTGTTTCAGCAAAAGAGGCCTTCAGAGGCATCAGATAATTGACAAACAGCACGGTCCTGCCTCATGTTCTGGTTATTCTCCTTGAGGAGAATGATCTCAGGGGCTGCACTGGAGTTGATTTAAGGGATAGAATGCAGAGGGTTGTTGGTTTGATTAGGAAATCATAGCTGGAGGTTGGGTTAATATGATCACTAGTGCTTGCGAGGCGGGTTGGTGAGGTGCCCCAAACCCACCCAAAGTGGACAAGCTAGGAAGAAAGTGAATTGGGAGGTCACCAGGATACCCGTGGAGACAAGGGGGTTTGTGGTTCAGCATAGGGTCATCTGTTACAATGGGCCTTAATTTTTCAGGGATGATGATGTGCCTTTGTCACATGGAGGCACTGACATATGGCTTTGGAATATGAGGGAATGGGATGGGGCAGGAGCTATGATACCAGGCACTGTCACTGGAGAGAGGTGTGACCAAGCTAGTCACTAATGTCCCCTGCAGCTGGTTTCCAATGTGGTTAAAAGGATAAAATGAACAGTTCTCAGAGGTAAAAGACCTGGGATTTTGCTGATGGGCCCTGGGCTCACAGGATAGGGTGAGACCTTGTGGCCCTTGTGGGCTGAATCCCCACCCTTCTGCAGCCTCTTCCTCCTCACAGGAGGTGGAGCTGGTAGGTCTCACAGCAATCTGATTCTTGGGGTAGGTTGAGGAGAGTCTACCCTGAGTTATGGGTTATATGATAGGAGCCCTGTAATTCCCTACACTGGAACCACTTAAATGCTTGGTATAGGGGAGTATTGGTGATGGGTAGGTAGCTCCCCTCCCTTGTGTTTGACTTAATAAAAGTTGTGGCCTTCTGCTTAAAATCCATCCATGTATGTCCTCATTTTGCTGCTATATCCAGCTCAAATGCCATCCACCCATTTCAATGGAGTGGCCGGATCAACTGTAGTTTTTAGCAGCCACCCAAACAGTTGCATAGAGAGTGGTTGTCCAAAGCGCAGAAATAAATAAAAACAGTCACACTGAACAAGATAAAGTTTGGGTTCATTTGCTGTTCTTTCTCAGTCAAGCAACCTGCAGATGGGAACAAAATGCCTGGTTTCCAGAATGAGAAGCCATATTGTGTTTCTCATAGCCATAGCCACTTGTTAGCGTTGTTCAGGTTTTAAAAGGTGATGAGTGGCCTAATTCATAGATTCCGAGGCAAGAAGGGACCACTGTGATCTAGTCTGACCTCCTGTATTACACAGGCCATAGCGCTTCCCTGAAATAATTCCTAGAACAAATCTATTAGAAAAATATCCAATCTTGATTTAAAAATTGTCAGTGATGGAGAATCCACTTGGTAAATTTTTCCAAAGATTAATTACTCTCACCGTTAAAAATGTACATCTTATTTCCAGTCTGAATTTGTCTAGCTTCAATTTCCAGCTATTGGATTGTGTTATACCTTTCTCTGCTAGACTGAAGAGCCTATTATTAAATATTTGTTCTTCATGTAGATACTTATAGACTCTAAGAAAATCATCCTTAATCTTCCCTTTGTTAAATAGATTGAGCTCCCTGAGTCTATCATTGTAAGAAATGTTCTCTAATCCTCTAATCATTCTCATGGCTCTTCTATGAACCCTCGCTGACTTATCAGCATCCTTCTTGTATTGTGGGCATCAGGACTGGGCACCAGATTCCAGCCCGGGTTGCACCAGTGCCCACAGTATAGAGGTAAAATAACCTCTCTGCTAATACTCAAGGTTTCCTTGTATATGCATCCCAGGATTGCTTTAGTGGAGTACTCACTAGGATTAGGTGTTCAGATGCTTATCCACCAAGACCCCCACATCTTTTCAGTGTCTTTGGTTCCCAGGATAGAGGCCCCCATCCAGTAAATAGGGCCTATATTCTTTGTTCCTAGATGTATGCATTTACATTTAGTTGTATTAAAACACATATTGTTTGCTTGCACTCAGCTTCTCAAGAGATCCAAATCACTCTGTATCAGTGAGCTGTCCTTTTCATTATTTACCAATCCCCCAAATGTGTGTGTCAAGTGGGATTTATGTGCCTAAGCACCTTTGTGTGTTTGGACCTAAGTGACTTGTGCAAGGTCACACAAAGTCTGTGGAGGAACAGGAAATTAGACCCAGGTCTCCTGAGGTGCAGGCTAATGCTCTAACCACTAGCCCATTCTTCCTGTGTGCTAATAACACTACTGGTGAGAGGCACAAGCCACAAATTGGGAAATGGATCTGTGTGGTGAGAGGGTTTATATCTGGGATTTTGTTCATTTCTTGGGCTTATCTAAATATTCCATGGGGGATAATGCAGCACATGCAGGAGTGCATTCACTCGTCTTTTACTTGCCATAAATAAAAATAGCCTTCTCCATATAGCAAGAAATCCAGGAAAGATTATGTAAATTTTAAAAAGCATTGGCAAAGGATAGTTGGAGACATTTACTTGTCCAGCGCATGAGCATGAAATTCTTAACCATGAGATTAGTTCAGGAGATAATATTATTCGGACACAGTAGGCTCATGTGAACCCTGTAGGGTTCGATTCACAACAATAACCAGGTGTGAACCATACTTCAGGTTTGCTTGAAGGCTCAAGTTCAATGAACTTCAGACTTCAAGGGTAAAATCCCATATGCAGACAGTTCTTGGGCTTGTAAATGGGAGCAGGCATGACGTCCAGAATAAACTTGGCAAGAATGTGGGCTGAAGTCTGAGAATGCATCTGACCTTGCTCCTAAAGCTAGATTACTCTGGAGTAGGTTCAAGGTCTGAGTATTTTGCACAGCTCCAGTGTACAATTATATTAACAATCATGGAACATAATATGAATTAAAACACACCCCACGCCAACACACTCATGAAAATAACAGATTAACAAATTCATAGTCGTCCCCCTCCCCCCCCCCAAAGAAATGGACAGTTCTGTTTAATTGCATGAGTGGCATGTCATCACTATTCAGTGCCACTAAAAGCAAGGCTCAAAACTCACCAATTTGTGCAGCTTATGCCCACTGTGCAACTGGTTGACAAACAAGGTTTGCCATAAAACGTCTCCCCTATTAGCTGGGTTTTAGCTGCTGCTCACCAATAAGTAAAAACTATTTACCAGACGTTGGCCTGCCATTGAGAGCAGCACTGTAAGGGGCATTGATACAGTTTGTGACTTTTGTCATGTGACAGGATGTAAGAAGGGAAATGTTTTAATTTTTTTTTTTTTTTTACAAATCTGCTTCCTTTCTCCAGTATAGCAACTGATGGCATATTTTGTGATATATTAAAAGACTTGATTTGACAAAAAAAGTTACGTGTCATCACAGCTGCTTTATATAAGAAAATATGTACCATTACTATTCAGTCACTAGGACAGCCACAAGGAAGGGGAATCACCTCCACCCAGTCTGGATTTTCCACTGGCCGACGGCTTGAGCTAAATGGTAAGGAGATTCCACATAGCACTCTAACCCTACCCGGATTGCCTGAGGTTATACTCAGCTCAGCAAGCTGGTTGGATATAACTGGGAACCCATTGATACGAGTATTTAAAGGCTGTTGGAGGGGATCCAAGGTAAAGCTTGTCCATTAAGTCCACAGCAGGCAGGCACAAAACTAACTTTAGTGGAGCAAGACTGGGAAACGTGAAATTAACAATTCTACAGAGTTTATGTTTTGTATTGGGAGCCTGCTCACATTTTAGGGGAAGAGGCTGTGAGCTCACCGAGCCCTAATTAAAATGGACTGAAATGCAAATGACAGCATGGAAATGGAGGTACGAAAGAGGATGGAAAAGGCTGGATGGAAATCAAGGATTCTGGGGAGAGGGGGTATTTTTAAATTGGTAGTTGAAAAGAAGAAAGGTTAAAAAATAAAAACAGAGGATGCAAGCTTCAAAGGAAGGAGATGTAGGTCTCTAAAGAGAGGGACAGAAAAGACACATTAGAGGCCATCCACGTTGCCAGGGCACAGGATAATCACTGGCCTTTCCACAGTTGACTGCCAGAGTAATAGTAGAGACTGCTTGTATTAGCAGCTATTTAATGGGAGGGGAACACAGATTAACTTCAGAGATTTGGCTGATGCTAATACTTATTTTTCTTTAGTGCTGTCTCTTAAGCCTCTCTCATCTAGTGAATTCGCTATTTAATGGAGCTAGTTGGAACATTTTCAATACAATGAAATTTCATCAAAATCTGTTGTCTAGTCAACGTTAAAATGTTTTGCAGAGACGTATTGGCTCCAACGAAGTTGTCAGGTGTAAAGGTGGAGGATGGGAGAGACTCTCTCTTACACTCTACAGCCTGGTGGTTAGGGCACTGCCCTGGAATGTGGGAGACCCAGGTTCATCCCTACTCTGCCTGCTTCAGAGTGGGATAAAAAACCTATATTCTGAATCAGACACTTGATGCTGGGACTCCCACATCCCAAGTCAGTGCCCTATCCACCAAGACACACACCCTCCTGCATTGAAAAGCTCAGGTTTTGATCTGAAAATGGACTTTTCAACACAATTCCATTTTTTTCAAAAACATTCCAATGGTTTTGGTTTCAATCCAATGCATAACAAAACTAAATAGCAGAAACCATGACAGCTGCCATGAAATTGAATTGTCGTTTTCCCGTCAGCTCTATAATTTAGTCCTTGGAAATGCATTGTAGTTTGATGTAATGAGTTACTAATTTGATATGTTGAAGAAGTTGCCATGCTCCATTCTTACAATGTTGGAATTTTTAATTCTGTTTCCAGAATGTTTTCGATCCCCTGTGGAACCGCCACACATTTAAAAAGTGGTATCACTATACCTGGGTCTTGGCTGTGTTTTATCAATAAAACATCTGTTCAAAATGTTCTGAATGTCAAACTATGTTGGGAATGCTGGGTAGAATCCCAGAAATGGGCTCACCAGAATTATTGTCAGACATCGTAAACTGTTTGCAAGTTAATTTAAAGAAAAGTCTAGTACAAAATGAAAACATTTTTTTTCACAAGCCTGAATTGAATGTCCATCTTAATACTTGCATATGTTTCAAAACACTGTTCAAACACACCTGATGGCCCTTTTTGGATAACTTACACTATTCTTGGAGGGGGGGGGGAAGGTTTGAATTGACTGTTCCTGGTGAAGCACCAACTTAATTTTATACCACAGGAAATATTGTGGAATACTTATTTTAACTATTATTGTTGTTTATTTATACAGTCCTGTAGTAAACTGACCTTCTCCCCTGCTCACAAATGACCCACTGCCACATGCAGAGTCTCTTTCCAGAAGTTTTGTTTTTCAAACTTAGGCAAAAGATAACAAAAACTCAGCCCACCCCGAGCTACAGCTCCCAAGGATTCCCCTCCCCCCCATTTCCTGCAGGAAGGACGGAGAGGTATCTTCTATGTTCTGTTCCCTGAGCACCGCCACTCAAGGGCTTTTCTTTGGACGCCCTCTTTCCCTAGCAGGTTCCCACTGCCTCCCCTCCCAGGGAACTTCCTGTTGCTTTTCCCCCACACTTTAGTACTCCCCCTCCCCTTTTTTCTCTCTCTAGTCCCAGGTGTCCAATTTTAAACCTAATTGGGGTCAGCAGACCCGTCACAGGTTCATTTGCCCTGCTCCCCCTTAAAGGGGCCAGCCACCCTGTGACAAGCACTATGACTGAGATTGGTGATATACAAAACATAGACAAAGTTTCTTGGATTATGCTAACAGACAAACAGTTCTAACAGGGCAACAGGTCCAATGTAGCTTTGTGCTTAATAAATCTTTCCAATGATAATTTCCAGTTTTAATATATAAAAATATTATCAAATTGGTAATCTTCAGATAACAAGGAATAGTTATTTATTATGTAAAAATGTTCCTTTAATGAAAGCCACATTAACTTCTTATTTTATGGTATGTATCAGGGACTCGTCTGTGTTTAAGATGAACAGTACACGAGTATAGAATCCCTGAACATTTCCAAACTGACTTCAGAAAGTGCATTGCCTTATCTCAGATAAAGTTGCCATACTAAAAACTAAATGGAGATATAAAATGAGAAAAAGTCTATAAAATACTTACTTCATCATCACAGCTTATAGAACATCTTCCATCAAGAGATGGACACTGCAGGGGACACCAATAGGATATATATTTTACATCATTTTATTTTTTATTCTGGTGGTTGTCTGAACTGATATTTTAAAAACGATAAGTACAAATTTAATCAAGAACAGTAGATAATCTAGAAAAGACCACACAAATAGGACTATATTACATTAATTCCCCATTCCTGTTGTGACGGCATCTGCATCAAGGGGGTTAATTCATGCTGTGCCAATTTCATTTGCTTATTCCAGTCTTTGCTGCCTACTCTATAATGATACAGGGCCTTAAATAGGCAAGACTCCATTGGGACTTCAGTAGGGGTATTGTGTGAGTCAGGATTGTAAGACTGAGCCAATATTTCACAGAATACTTTAGAGATGATTATTCTCAGAAATAGTATAATCTCAATGTATTCTCAAATTGGTCATGTAATCTCTTGATCCTTTTAAAGCTGGAAGAGATTATTTTGTTAAATAAATACACATTTTATACACAGTTTATTATTTATTAAAAACAAACTAGACAAATATGTTTCACTGAATACAGTTAGTCGCTAGATCATTACTTCAGTCACTTAAAGCTAGAGAGCAGATATACCATAAGCCCTGAAAAAGGGACATAACTGTGCCACCCAAGAGAGACCAGGAACCAAATTGTGACTCAGTCACAATATCTGGTCCTTGGTTTCCCCTTTCCTCCAGGAGGGACTTAATCTGTGCCAGCCCTTTACCTGACAGAGCTTACTTCTCCCCCTGCACCAACTGTGCTAGCTGATACGTTTTAGGGACAGTGGACTCAAAGCTCCATCCATTCCTAGCCCACCTGCAGTGGAATGGGAGTAGCAGTCCCATTGAAGCTGCTCCTCACATTGAACTGTAACCCATGGTTACGTGCCCTACCCCTGCCTTAATTCCCTGAATGGGCATGATGGGACAGCACTGTAATAGAAATGCACTGGAAGAAACTGAAAAAAAAAAAGGTAATTTAAACCATATACAAAAATTTGGAGTGAAATCAGGGTTGTATTAAGTATATTTATTCTTACTGCTATCAAAATGCACTGATCACCCCAAAAGATACTTGAACACTGACAAGGTCATTCCTATTTTTCATGTCATTGTTGTTGTATGTTTTTTAATTTTATGTACCCTTAGGATAATTGTTCATGTACCCTTAGGATAATTGTTCATGGATCTTAAGGTTATACTTGGGAGGCTGGATTTGGGGAGCCTCTCCATTCATGACAATGAGTGCTGAATCAGTCCCAGGTGTTTAGCCTCATGATCACCCTTCTGTGTTACAATGAATTGAAAAGTAAATTAGAATAGCTTACAAACATTCATAGGAAATCTAGCACTGCCTTGGCTAAATATATCTAGAACACCATCACCTGTACAGGAAGGGAGTTGCTATGGTCTCATTTGCATAAGTAGTATCTAATTGGAACATACCTGTCTACTGGCAGTCCAAAACTTCCGCTGGAAAAATTCAAGTTTCATCTGGATACCTACAGCTGGTACAAATTATAAATAAAACCAAGATATTAAAATATTTTACATGGTTATTTCAAATGATTCATAGGGGAAAATTCTGGTTAAACCTACTTGGGAAAAAAATACCCCAGTGGTTAAATTTAAGAGATCCACATGGTCACATATTAAACCAGATTTATCTTTTGCTTAAGAAATCAAGATACTGAAGACACAACATAGTAGGAACTCAAATCAGGAGTTATGAAAATTGTATGCCCTTTACAGTTAAAATAAAGAAACTGAAAAGCGAGCACCAAAGCTATGGCAATTCTTTTTTTCTAGATTGGTCCCATATCTCAATAATCCAATTCTGTTGTATGTTGGAAAAAAACATACCTATTCACTACTGACAGGCCAGGAGGATAAGTAAAATTTAACTGCTGTGGAATTCTACACTACAGCGGAACCCTGCTGTGGGCTGAAGTCTTAAGTTGTCCAAAGTGAGCGAAAGGTGGCAGAAAGGCCATCTATAGATATTTGACCTACAGATATTTGTGTCAATTTTGTGAAAGTAAGCCCAAGGTGGAGTAAAAGGAATGAGGTAAAATGAGTATGTCATTTAAAATATTGTTGGTTAAAGGGTTTCAAGACTCCTGATGAGGTTACCAATAGTAACAAGTTATGAACAATTTAAAAATGGTTTACTAAATCATTATAATTAAAAGCATATATGCTTTTGGAAAGGTATTATTAGTATCTTCATTTGTTAAAAGTTACAATTTTGAAGAAAATGGCAGAAATTACAGGACAGAAAGATTTAGGGATGCCTTATGTTGCATGCCTACTTCAATTGCTCCTGTTGGCCATTGCATAGAGGCAGATCTGCCCTGAGATCTGGCCCCTTCTGCTTCATGCTAGAGCACCCCTTTGTACTGGTGGTGTCTTCCCTATGGCTCATTTATGCTAGTCTGGTTGATGCACAAGGGCTAATGCAAGAATTAACTGGTACCTCACTGGGCATGCTCTAGCCTTAAATCCAATATAAAATTTCCCTGGACAGGTCCTCCATAGGAGCTGCAGTTCTTGGAGCCTTGGTGACCAAACAGGGATTCTAGCAACTTCACTGTCATTCATTATTGGAAAAAAAAATATCTCCAAAATTGTTTTGGAAACTCTAAGGAAATTCATTCATTCATTCTCTCTCTAAGACCTATGTTATGGACTGCTTTTAATCATATTTCCATTCTTCCATAATATCTTATTCAGACTGACAATTGGTATTTGTTTTCACAAATATGCTGAAGATGTAATCATGAGCACATTTCATACTGTATTACCAAATATAAAAATGTATGATATGAAACTCAAAAGATACTGCTACAATGGGACCATAAAATTAAGAACAGAGGAACATTTTCATATTGTATTAGTGTAGAAAAAGTTTTGTCCCTGCTGTGCTTCACATGCAATACTCAATGGTGCTCTCAGGGTGATCAGCACCCCTACAATGTCCCATTAGGCACAAAACTGTATCTTTAGGTGCCTAAATACCTTCGAAAATCTGGCCCTGAGTCTTTATATTTAGTAATAAATTTAATAGCCCATTTAACAGTTATTAAAAAGCACCTTTAATCAAAGGATCTCAAAGCACTTCATAAAAATAGTTAAGAATATTCTCATTTTACTGATGGAAAAAATGAGACAAGTAAGATGAATGAGAGAATTCATACAGTCAGTGGCAGAATTCAGAATAGAACATAGGTCTCCTGACTCTAACCACTAGATAACAATGCTGCCTTTCTTAAAAGAATGCAGATTTAATTGTAAAGTAGCTTGGGGCTCAAATATTTCATTATGAAGTTCTGAAAGGCTAAAGGTCTGTGGATAGCCCAGAAAAATGTATTGGTTCTAAAATCTTTTTCAAGTATATTTGATCGTTCTTAGGGCATAAAATAATCTGACCAAAAAAAAAAAAAAATCCTGTGCTTGTCTCAGTGCTCTTGAAAAACACAGGGAATATATATTTCCTAATATGAAGCCTGCAAAAATGCTTTAGTATTACCTCAGGGGTTGAAAATAAAATTATAATTTCATTCACAAGCGTTGTTAATTCTTTTGAACATGAGTTCAGTCAAATAATTATAATCTGAAATGTAGGAAACATTCGTAATTGCCATTTATTATACTTTACATACAGGTGACTGTTCAAAGCACTGCATGTCAGGAAAAATGAATGCTAAGGAGTTATTCACTCAAAAAGCATATAAAACACTATGTAGACTTCCTAATGACATTGCAAAAACCAGCATATAAACAATAAAAAAGGGATAGGATTAAAATGTCATATTAGGATATACTCTCTTCAAAGAAAACTCCTGTTGCTGCTTTCACCATAAAGTGTTAATGGGAGCTGTGTTTTCTCTTCTTGTCTTTCACCATAGAAATATATCATGTAGCACTTTGTTATTTAAAAACAAGTATAAGAAGGATTACAAAGCTGTCCTTGGGGGAATACTTCACAAGGGAAGTATGTAATCTGTTAGGCGTGATATTTAAAACTTTGCCACTTTTGACATCCTACGACCTCAACCAGCGCAGACAAAAATATGTTACGTTTCAGTTTTACTTTCTTAAATAATATTGTACCTTAGAGATGAATGTTGCAGCCCTACTAATAGTCAAATAGCTAAATGATCTGAACAGTGTTTAAAAAAGTATAGAACACCACCGGCGGAGCTGGGAAAGCCCAACCCTGCAGTCTTCACACAAGTGAAACTCCCACTGAAAATCATGGGAGTTTTACATGAGTGAGAGCAGACCCAGCATTTCTGTCTACTCCCCCCCCCCCCCGAGTCTGTCCAAGAATACATTGAAATTCACAGAGCTGACACCAACAAAAACAAAACTGCAGCTGCCTGCCTTCTCTCATCTTCATAAAAAGAGCATGCTCTAAGTTTTGCAGAAATTAGTCCCAGGATTTCAGTTGTCTTTATACTCCAACATTACATTGTGCAGTTCATTAAAATGTGCACATGAAATGTTTTACAGATGAGCTATGTCATAATTATCTCATTACAGTTTCAAATTCTCTCTCATGTGGTAAGTAATTTATACCGGGCATTAGGATATGTTCAGTATAAATTCATCTTTGATTTAAGCAAGGATATAGGCTGTGTATTTAACACTTGTCTACAAAGGTTTACTATGGAACTTGGGTGTTTGTAAAATGTTATCACAGAAAAACACTATTATGGTATATTATGAATTGCTCTTGTATGTTTATTACAATTACATTAAAATGGTCTTCCACACTCCCTCTAATGGTTGGCAGTTTCATTGTTCCAGTGGAATGTAGCATTCAAGGGAGATCATAGTCATGGAGAGAGAAGAATCATAGAATATCAGGGCTGGAAGTGACCTCAGGAGGCTATCTAGTCCAACCCTCTGCTCAAAGCAGGACCAATCCCCAACTAAATCATCCCAGCCAGGGCTTTGTCAAGCCTGACCTTAAAAACCTCTAAGGAAGGAGATTCCACCACCTCCCTAGGTAACCCATTCCAGTGCTTCACCACCCTCCTAGTGAAAACGTTTTTCCTAATATCCAACCTAAACCTCCCACACTGCAACTTGAGACCATTACTCCTTGTTCTGTCATCGGGTATCATTGAGAACAGTCTAGATCCATCCTCTTTGTAACCCCCTTTCAGGTAGTTGAAAGCAGCTATCAAATCCCCCCCTAATTCTTCTCTTCTGCAGTCTGAACAATCCCAGTTCCCTCAGCCTCTCCTCATAAGTCATGTGCTCCAGCCTCCTAATCATTTTTGTTCCCCTCCGCTGGACTCTTTCCAACTTTTCCACATTCTTCTTGTGCTCTGGGGCCCAAAACTGGCCACAGCACTCCAGATGAGGCCTCACCAATGTCGAATAGAGGGGAATGATCACATCCCTCAATCTGCTGGCAATGCGCTACTTATGCAGCCCAAAATGCTGTTAGCCTTCTTGACAACAAGGGCACACTGTTGACTCATATCCAGCTTCTCGTCCACCGTAACCCCTAGGTCCTTTTCTGCAGAACTGCTGTCTAGCCACTTGGTCCCTAGTCTGTAGAGGTGCATAGGATTCTTCCGTCCTAAGTGCAGGACTCTGCACTTGTCCTTGTTGAACTTCATCAGATTTCTTTTGGCCCAATCCTCTAATTTGTCTAGGTCCCTTTGTATCCTATCCCTACCTTCCAGCATATCTACCATTCCTCCCAGTTTAGTGTCATCTGCAAACTTGCTGTGGGTGCAGTCCACGCCAGCCTGCAAATCATTAATGAAGATATTGAACAAAACCGGCCCCAGGACCAACCCTTGTGGCACTCTGCCAACTAGACATGGAGCCATTGATCACTACCCGTTGAGCCTGGTGATCTAGCCTGCTTCCTATCCACTTTATAGTCCATTCATCCAGCCCATACTTCTTTAACTTGCCAGTAAGAATACTGTGGGAGACCGTATCAAAAGAAATCTCTTAAGCAGCCATGGCCTGTCCTATGGAGGGCTTTGAATGTCAGGGGAGAAACCTTGAACTAGTCTTTCCAGTATACAACTCTAAGGTGATGTGTTCACAGTAACCTGCGTTGCTAAACAGGCTGCCCTACTTTTTAATCATTGGGAGAATTTTCAGGGCACCTGGTTTCCTCTCCAGATAATGAATTGCAATGATCAACTCTGAAGGTCAAGAATGTATGAATCACCTTAGCTAGGTGTGTGTCCAATACGTGGAGACACAATCTTCTGGCCAGACACAGATGAAGTTGGCACTTTCTGCTATCATGACTATTTGGGCATTGAGGAGTCCAAAAGGGCTTATTGAACAATCTATGGGCAGAGGCCTTCAATAGGGGCATATTCTAAAGGGGCATATTAAAAAGGAAATAATCTCTTCTGCTAATATCTCTACCATCTTGCCAGGATTCAGCCTTAGCCAGCTGCTCTCCATCTCGATACTGACTGCTGGCTAGGTCTTCAGAAAGCTAGGAGACTTGGCATTTAGGAGATGTCGAGCT